CATTGGTTTTATTTATTATTGTCTTCACAGGGGTTTTATTTATTTAATTTATTTTAAACAATTCTATTATTTGATTATATTTTTCAATTGTATGGGTATATTATTTTATTATTTCATTTATTTGCTGGATTAGGAGTGCGACATTATTTATATTTATAGTTCATATACTTTCCATTTTAATTGCCTAAAATAAACTTTTAACACTTCTATTCCTGAAAGCATTCTCAATTTCCAGCATTTTTTCGCACCTGCCTAAAACTTTTGCACAGAAGTGTATATATGGATAGCTGCTGATTGCCTACCTAGCCTATAGATAACCACTGGAGGATGCACTCACAAAGTTTTTCTTCTGAATATGATTATAAAACTAATGGCACAGTATGTATTAAAAGTGTGAAACTAATATAAAAATTATATGTTTTAAAAAAGGTACAGAAACAACAAAAAATGAATAGATCATAAAAATAAAAGATGGTTTGGACATATAAAGATTGTTAGCTCACCAGGTTCCTGAGCATAGGCTGTTCCCAGCAGAAGCAGTAAAAGTAGACGGAGCATGTCTGTGGAGACATAAAGAAAGAGATAAAGTCAATTATTGTGTCTGGCATATTTGATAAGATAGCACATCGCAAAAAAACTGTAGCAAACAATCACATTTAATTTTTCATTGATCTGAAATATGAAATTTTGTCAGTTCTTATGCCAGCATACCAGTTTACCAATTACTTTCTCATCAGATTTCAGAAGGATCTACATTTGTGCATTGTACATAACCCCTGAGCAAGTTACTTTCCTATATGTTTCCAGACAGATCAGCCCAAATGGAGCTTTTAGATTTAATACTATAAAGCAGTGGTCTCCAAAGTGCATCCCTTTGCTTGCTTTTATTCATCCCCTGGGGGAATAGTTCATCCACTGATACCAACAATGGGGCATAATTCCCTCCACTGACACCAACTATGGAGCACAATTCCTCCCAATGACATCAACAATGGGGCCCAATCACACCAACAATGGGGCCTAATGACACCAATGGTGGGACACAATTCTTCCCAATGACACCACAGAAGGGGCATAATTTATTCTTATTGAAGTTGGGACTTTTTCTACTCCCAATGGCCACAGACCAGACCCCTAAAGCCTGCAGGATAGTAAACTTTGTTTAGAAAGTGTGGAGACCCATGCTATAAAGCAGTCATGCTGTATAGACAGTAATTAATGTGAAGACCCAAACTTCTTCCTCATGTGTTGAGCAGAGGTCTGGACTTCCACCATGCTGCAAGCACAAAGAATTGTAACATTGGTTGCAGCACAATAGTAAAGTAGTAGTTGTTATGATCTTTACAACCTGACTTCCCTAATAAAAAAAAGTAAAGCTTCAAATAGACTTTGCAAGATTTGACCATCCTTTGATCTTTCAGAGGATAGACCAAGGTCATTAAAGTGGAGGAGGACACTTTATGGACATCTTCAGCACTAACATTAAAGAAAATAAAAAAAAAAATAATAGAAACTAGCTAATCCACTTTCCTCCTGAGAATGTTTAGGCCTGGGGAATTCTGCCAGTGGTGCCTAAATACACAAAGTTCCCAGATCCGGCTGTAAGCTGCTAGATTAGCCAACATATTTTGATGTCTGTAGACATCTTAAAGAGACCTTGTCACCATACCCATTCAGGGCTAAGTGACAATGTCTGTATAAAGCCGACTCACCAGATCACTTTATACTCATTCCTACCGAGCTCCCACCCCACTTCTTTTGTTAGTGCAGTTTCCACATAAATACCAAACCTTAAGTGGAACAGTGATGTCATGCCATCCTTACAGTGATCACACCTATAGATTGGCCATTCAAGCCCAGCATCATGGGATGAGGTCATATGCAACCCCATACCCAGAAGCAGTGGGTATTTTGTAGAAGAGGAATTGACAATACTGGGTGTCCCTAAAGAATGAATACATTGTTCAATAAATTTCAATAAATTTTTCAACAACATTTTATTTCATTGGAATATTAATCAATAACATCTTCAATGTGATTTCCACCGTTTGTGATGCAAAGCTCCATGTGCTTTGCAAGATTCACGTGAACACTAATGCAGTAACTCCACATTTCTGTCAATTTGAGCACATTTGTTAATGATGTGTCCCTTCAGGTTATTCAAATCTATGATTTTCATTGAGTACACCTACTCCTTTAGCATACCCCAAAAAAAGAAGTCAAGCAGTTTAAGATCTGGTGAATTTATATAGTCATATACAGTATTATATACATATATACTCATCGGCCACTTTATTAGGTACACCTGTTCAATTTCTTGGTAACACAAATTACTAATCAGCCAATCACATGGCAGCCACGCAATGCATTTAGGTATCTAGATGTGATGAAGAAGACGGCTTGCTGAATTTCAAACCGAGCTTCAGAATGGAGAAGAAAGAGGATGTAAGTGACTTTGAACATGGCATGGTTGTTGGTATCCTACGGGCTGGTCTGAGTATTTCAAAAACTGCTGATCTACTGGGATTTTCATACACAGCCATCTCTAGGGTTTCCAGAGAATGGTCCAAAAAAGAGAAAATATCCAGTGAGCGGCAGTTGAGTGGACAAAAATGCCTTGTTGATGTCAGAAGTCAGGCAGACTGGTTCAAGATGATAGAAAGGCAACAGTAACTCATGTCAATGGAGACCGAAATCTCAGAGGAATGTTTCCAAGACCTTGCTGAATCTATGCCACAAAGAATTAGGGCAGTTCTAAAGGCAAAAGTGGGTTCAGCATGATATTAGCAAGGTCTACCTAACAAAGTGGCCGGTGAGTGTATATACATATATAGTGATATTGCCTATAGGGACACCCTGTAGGATGCTAAAGGTGAGTATAAAGGGGATGGACACTACATAGACAGGGTTTCTTTAAAGCAAAAAATACCCTCCCCCCCATTCCAGTGTATAGCCAGCACTCCCAGGTAACTAAATATGCTTTTCTAATTCCCATCTACAGCCACCTTGAAAAACACAGAACTTCTTGATATGGGGGAACACCTCAGACTCAATGCAGTGCAAATCATCAGTCCGGAGTGCTTTTTCATGGGGACACAAGTACAGGTCAGAGGCAGACTGACAACTCATGGGGAACCCGGGCAACAGGGGATCATGGGGCCCCCGGGCAATAGGGAATCATGGGACCCCTGTGTCCTAGCCCACACTCAAACCTCACCCAAAAAAGCCTATGAAAAGGTACCAAGGGCATCTCATGGGACCCCCCTACTGACCTCGGGCAGTGCCCAAATGGTCAGCCCGCCCCGGTACAGGTACCGACCATTAAGGAATGGTTAGTACTTGGCTAGAATCTTTATGGAAGCTGTAGTGGGAATCAGGACCAGCAATAAGAATATGACAGAAAATGAATCACTTCACTGGCATGACAGTCCAAAAAACTACAGATAGGTTCATTATTAGAGGCAGCAGAACGTACCGGCAGACCCACAAACAGGAAACATATCAGGAATCTGATAATCTGTATCTTACATTACAACAAATAGGGAACTGAACTGCTCCAGCAGGCTCACACAATGTAAAGGTTATCTATAGCAATACATTTTGTTTAGTCTAGGACAGAATAGGGAAGGGGTACAGGTTTCCTATCTGTACTCAGTAGGGGAGACTTCCCTTTACTTCTTGTTTTGGAGATGCAACAAAAGATAAGTGGAAATCTCTAAAAAGTGAGAATTCCCCTCATAGACAGCTGTCACCTGAACTTTGGAAGACTATCCTTCACCTCTTCTTCTGGTCATGTATGTAAAATTTGGGATTTCTCATGACCTTCTGTAGGGTGAATCTCCCCAGTTGGGTCATAGGCAGAAATAAAAACCAGCACTGGCTTAACCCAATGAAAATGTGTATACTGTAAAAGTATTAAAGACCTTAAAGTGGAACTTCACCTTCTCAATCAGCATGGACAATGTTCAATCCTTATGCTGCTAGCCTTAGTAAATAGATAGGAAAGTATATTATATTTACTTGTTTTAAACTTTTGTTTTACATTTCTTCAGTTCTTTCTGGCTTCCATGCCTAGACAAATGGGGGTTTATTTACTAAAGCTGGAGAGTCCAAAATCAGACTCCCTTCTGCATAGAAACCAATCAGCTTCCAGGTTTCATTGCCAAAGCTTCATTGAACAAGCTGAGGTTAGAAGCTGATTGGTTTCTATGCAGAAGGGAGTCTGATTTTGGACTCTCCAGCTTTAGTAAATAAACCCCATGATGTCATACATCCCAAGAGTCTTCAGGAAAAGAGGGAGGGTTCTCAGCCCAGCCTATTCCTGAGCTAAGGGCAGATGGATACCAGGAAGTAAATGATACATAAATCCTCTGCCCTTATTTTAGATGATCACTGCCAGATATGCCAGTGGGTGTTTTTCAAAATGATTTCTCAGCAAAATAAAGCATGGAGACATGGATGGCATGGGGGTGTTAGCTTTGAATATTAAAAATATATTAAATAGCATTTTTGGTTTGTGGTGCTCAGATGTAGTGCAGTTCCAGTCTAAGCTGCACTGTCCTTACATATATTATTCACAACTCTTCAGTTATACCAACTTTATTATCTAACCAAATTATGAAAGAGGAAATTAAGAAAACACACACAGACACAGCAACAGTATAGTAGTACAGAAAAAAAATAATAAAAGTAATTAAAAAAAAAAACCTCATAAAAAGTAAAGGGGTTCATTTAGGTTTCAGGGGTTTATTTTATTTGCATTTTTGTTTTTGTGTGTTTTTTGCTTTTATAATTTTTCTTTAAAATATAAATGACATTAATTATACCGTATATACATAATTATATATACATTTTATTTAACTACCTTTTTTTATGTTACATATAAAGTATATATAATTTATTTGTATTTTTTTTCTCCTTTCCATATTTTGTTTGGATAATAAAGTTGGTCTAATTGGACAGTGTTGAATAATAAGTAAGGTCATTGAGTGCTCAATCCCTTAATATTATTGATCTATTGAAAAAAAAAAAAAAAAAAAAAACTAAAAGTGGTTCTAATTCCTCCCTACTTGATCCAAAAGTTAAAAAAACATGGATATACATTTAGCTGGGAAAATAAGGTAGCCTGTAGCATTACAAAAGTTTTGGTAAATGTATAAGCTTGGTCAACTTCAGACAGCCAAACACCAATAGTTAGGTCATGTGAGGTTGTAATCAAAAAGGATTTTTTTGACAAATAAAAGAAAGAAGGTCTAAACATAAGGAGCTTGTATAATGCTGATGACAAAAAAGACAGGAGGTCAGACTTTGGAGAAAAAGGCTACATCAGAAGGAAGAAAGCACATTGAGGAGAAGAAAGTTTTCCAAGAGCTATAACGCCATGGAGTAAGGTAAGTGCTGTCATCTGTTTACCTTTAGAGTCTGGAAGCTCTTGTGTCTTCAAGCTTCTCTGAGTTCTTCTCTAAGATTCCTCCTTTCTTCTTAGAGACCGCATATCACTCCTATATACCTTGGTTTAGTAGCTGTGGTTGGTCTTGGAATCATGCCATAAATAAGGCAATCTGTTCTGCAAAGATCATGACTGATAATCTCCGAACACCTTGCTGCGGTTATTACCCAAGTACAGCTGTTAAAATTGCCTAGTTGATTTCTTACTTTTGGCTGACATTAATCAAACATGATGATGGAACTCTCTGCTAAAATACTGCCGGTCCAATGGCAACCAAATAAACACCAGCAGAGACCAGAACAAAAAAGCACACAAGGAAGTGAACCCTCAGCAACTAAAAGGGCTAAAAACTGTTTCCTTAGATGGGGACACTGGATAAATGACTCAAAATAAAGAAAAAGTCATGTTATAAAATTAAATAAATAGATAGATAAATGTTGGTGATCACCGGCCACCTTATTGATGAAATATTTAAAATAATCCAAACTTTACACATACAATACACATCAATAAAATATATACCGTTTTTTTCACTCCATAAGATGCACCTAGGTTTTAGAGGAGAAAAACAAATATTCTGAACCAATGGACTGCAAACATAGTACAGGAAATGACCAGAGACTGTGGATGTACTAAAGGCGATGACCAGAGACTGCGAACATAGTACAGGAGACGACCAGAGACTGCGAACATAGTACAGGAGATGACCAGAGACTGCGGACATAGTACAGGGGATGACCAGAGACTGCGGACATAGTACAGGGGATGACCAGAGACTGCGGACATACTCCACCCCTATTTCAGTAAGTTCTCAATTTCTGGAAAAGTGGAAGGGTTCCAGAAACCCTGACACATAGAACCTCCCAGACTGTACTAAGGTGAACTCCTGCCTCACTCCCAGGCTGCTATTCAGCCTCTAAAAAAAAAAAGAAAAACAAAACCTATCCAACTAACATGGAGGGTGTTACATGTATTTTAATAGTTTCAAACTAACAATAAATGCAGAACTATACTACTGTTTTTCCCTTTACATACAGTATACAAACTGGAAGAAAGTTGAAGAATTGGTTCTGGAGAGAAGATATACTCTTAAAGCGCTGAAGACCCATTAATAGGGGGTCATGGAGATCTGATGAATGTGGTCTTCACAAGGGGGAGCACATATCAGTGACGATACTGTATTTTCTACCTCTGATCACAAGACATTTTTAAACAGCACTTTATGAACACTGAATCTAAACAAAGTTTATTTGTTTCATATTTATACCTTACACAGAGACTTGCATTGCTAACTTTTGCACAGAATTTATATTGTTTACAATATTTATGCATTAAAGTGCACAGTGATTGTTATAGCAGAAATATTGTGTGTTACTGATTTATGCACTTTACTGATACATGCATTTTACTGATACATGCATTTTACTTAGTTAACAACACTACTAAGGGAGGTGCATTGTAGTACAGTCCCATGTGTATGGTGTCACTGAAAGGAATTTATTTACACTACTGTTTAGGGGAGGAGTTGTGTTGTAGAATTGCAAGGGCCGCACCATATTTTCTTCGCTTACCTAGTATAAGTAACTAGATCCAACAGCCTAATGTACTAATCTTCACAGAAACCCTCAAGACTTAGGAGGGGGAGCGGTAGCACTACGAGTTCAAACTGAACTGCAGTGCTTAGGGGAAATTTGCTGATAGAAAGTAAAGTGGAGCAAACCAAGATGATAGCTTATCTGCTGCTCCTTCATTTTCCAATTAGCAAGCTTTGGGCAGGGAGGTGACACCACTGTATTACTTAAAGCAGATCTTCATAATCAAAGGTCCGACCTACTCCTAGAGCAGGGCTGGCCAAACTATGGCCCTCCAGGTGTTGAGGAACTGCAAGTCTCATGAGGCCTTGCAAGACTCTGACATCCACAGGCAAGACACCCAGAGGCATGATGGGACTTGTAGTACTTCAACAGCTGGAGGGCCATAGTTTGGACACCCCTGTCCTAGGGGAATGACATGTACTGTTCCCACTGTGGCTCCTGGGATATGTAAGTCACATATTCCAGGAGGACTTATGAGGAAGCCCACTGGCACTTCCAAGTTAAGCCGGCAAGCCTCCCGATGATGTGCTGCTGGACCTGCTCCCCTGACGTCAGACATAAACATGGTGGCAAAGAAGAACCGGCAGCTGCTGAGAATAGGATCTAGGCAGGATAACACTGGGTGGGTAAGTACCTAACCTATGAAAAACCCATTACAAGGTAGGCCAGGGTAAAAAAAAAAAAAAAAAAAGAAGAGGGGTGAGAAGTAGAAGATCTGCTTTGAAGCCTAAATTTAGGTAACAATGTTTTTTTTTTTAAATCAGCTGAATAGACAAAAAACTTACATTTATTGGGAAGCATCCATTGTGCTGGTGATGGCTGTCCTAGTTGAAATCTTTTCCCCCTCAGCAGTAATTTTTCAGTGCTGCAGAGTTTATAAAAGAGCTAGACCTGTCATAGGCACATGTTAAGAGTTATACACAGTAAATATTGTTAGGCATGCAGTTAACCCTTTGATTGCCTCTATCCCAGCCAGTGTCATTAGCACAGTGACAGTGTATATTATTTGTACTGATCACTGTCAGTTGAGATGTCAATGTCACTTAGCCAGTTCACACAAAGTGTCAGTTAGTGTCAAATTGCCCGCCACACTATCATAGTCTCACTATAAGTCGCTGATCACTGCTATTACTCGTATAAAAAAAATTAATAAAAATTCCAGTATTTTTTTTTTTTCAAAATGTTCAGTTCTTTTTTATTTATATAATAAAAAACCCAGTGGTAATCAAATACTACCAAAAGAAAGCTCTATTTGTATGAAAAAAAATTAAACACATTTTATTTGGGTACAGCGCAATTGCTAGTTAATGTAGCACAGTGGCAAATAGCAAAAAAATCCCCTGGTCATGAAGGGGGTAAAACCCTCCGAAGTTTAATATCAAGAGTATCCACTGAAACAAAATTGCCATAAAAAAGACTATTCATCCAACATTTTTGAAGAAGCCATCACCACCTATTTAGATCTTCCCAAAATACTGACCTGGTCCCGATTAGATTTATTATCCAATTCCACAAAATAATGGAAAAGATTCTCTCCAAACAATAGGAAATCTTATTAGAAGATCCACTATTCAGACCAATACTTTCCTCCAAACTTCTTTTTGTATATCGTGGGGCCCTCGACATAAAAAGCCAGATCACCCCCCAGCAAGCTTTAAAAACAAGATAAAATCTGTCACGGTCCAGGCAACCTTTTTTGGGAACCCGGTAGGGATGTTCCAGTGTTGTACGAAAGCATGCCTTATCTGCCACTTTATTCCTCATGGTATAAAATCCTTCAAAGTCAATGGTAAAAACCCACCCCATCTCTATGTTCTATAATTGTTCTACAGAATATAATTTACACCTTAACATGTCCATTTGGCCTGATATATGTTTGCAGAACCATTAAGACATTAAGGGTGAGATCTGGGCAATATTGGTGTGCCATTGAACAAGGAAGAACCAACTATAGTGTACCAAAACATTTTAAGGAAGCACATGGGCAATCTGCAAAATGTGTGGGTGTTGGAACAAATTCCCAATCTCTACTCCAAAGCTGAACATTTCAAAAAGATTTGTAAGCATCTTGCATCTTGATGTTTTGGATATTTTCTTTGAATACTCTGTCCCCCCCAGTGGGCTCAATGAGGAAATAAAGACAAAAACAGTCATCTGTGTATTACTTTATTTAGAATAGAAAATTTATTTTATGTATACATTTTTTATCTATTCTTGATTTGTTCTTTATACTTGCATTTCTACATGTACGTACCTTTGTCTGTTTCCCTCGTAATTTTTTTATCTTTGGTAGTTTTTGATAACATTAATTGCACTGCTTTCTGTGTTTATATTTATATTATGGCTACTCCTTAGTGCAGAGATATTCTGTATATTTAAATACTCATAATATGCCCTATCCCCATTCCCTTCTATATATTTCTTGAGGCTTTCCACCTATACTAGGCTTGAGAAAGGGGCATGTATGCCCTGAAATACGTAGCAATGCTAACGTCTGACGTCATCTGCCCATCCTGAAACTGCTGCCTCTCTTCTTATGTTGCCATGCAGTCCACACTGGATCTACCTGTTGCTCCACACCTGCAGCCGCTTAATGGCATTCATCTGCAGTGCCTGGCCACTTCCCTGTTGCACTCTGCCTAAGGTCACTCATCTTGAGCCTGACAGTGGGGATTCACCTTGTGGGCCAGCCATCCACATAACATAAAAGAAAATGCGATTCATCATACCTGGTCACCTTCTTCCATTGTTCTGTTGTCCAGTTAATCTGCAGTGCCTGGCTGCTTCCTTGATGAACTCTGCCTGAGGTCATCCATCTTGAGTCTGACAGCTGAGATTCACCTTATGGGACGGCCATCCACATAATGTAAAATAAAATGTGATTCATCATAAATGGTCACATTTTTTCATTGTTCTGTTGTCCAGTTCTGTTGCTCAGGTGACCATTGTAGGTACTTTTGGCTGTGGACATGGGTCAGCATGGACACCACTCTGCAGCTACAAATCCCCATACACAACAAACTGAAATGCATTGTGCTTCTTTCAGAACCAGCATTAAGTTTTTCAGCAATGTGAGCTACAGTAGCTCTTCTATTAGATCAGGACTACATGAGCCAGCCTTCCCTTCCCATGTGCATCAAAGAGACTTGGCCACCCATGACCCTGTCAATGGTTTACTGGTTTACCTTCCTTGGACCACATTTGGTTGGTCCTGACCACTGCAGTTTTGCAGTTGCTCTGACCCAGTCATCTAGCCATTACAATTTGGCCCTTGTCAATGTCGCTCAGATCCTTATGCTTGTCCATTTTTTCAGCTTTCAAAACATCAGCTTTAGGGAGAACATGTTCACTTGTTGCCTAATATATCCCACCAACTTTCAGGTGCAGTACACATTAATTACAGTCATGTACACTGCTCTATGTACACTACATGTCCCATAGTCTATATAGTCCATCTCAGGAGTGAGCAAGAGAGGATAGCTACATCCATTCTCCATGGTTCCACTGTATGTAACAACATAGCCACCCTCTCTTGCTCACTTCCAAGATGGACTATATAGACCATGGGATATGTAGTGTGCATCCATCTTGGGAGTGAGCAAGAGAGGGTGGCTACTTTCCTATATACTGTAGCACTATCTCCTTAGGAATTGCTGAATTATTTTCGGGTTCCCTGTCGCTCTTGACCCCACTCTAAAAGCCCAACCCCTGCTGACACCACTGTACACTTCTGGCCAGAGTAAACCCTCTGAATATTACCAGAAAATAGACTCACATACAGTTTAGAGTGAACTACTGTTTTGTTTTTATTGGAATTGAATGTGAATACAATAAAGTAAATAGTCAATACGCACAGCAAAGATATCAATGGGTTTTAGTAGTCCTGCAATTCAGAATTTGACCCAAAAGAACTCAGCTCTGAGATGTCTCCTTCCAAGTGAGCTGAAAAAAAAAACTACCAAAGAGTAAGTCTAGCTCATTTTGGGCCCTCAAAAGATGGTGACCAGGTTCAATTCTTAGAGAAAGAAAGAGCTCTTTAACCACTTGCCCTCCAGAGGATTTCCCGCCTTACTGACCAGGCAATTTTTTGCATTACAGCATTGTGTTACTTTACTGACAATTGTGCGGTCATGCAACGCTGTACTCACATGAAATGTACATCTTTTTTTTCCCACGAATTGAGCTTT